ACTTGCATGTTACTCATATTCTACTCCTTCTAACCTTATTAAATCATTCATAGCACTCTGGCCTTTCACGCATTATCCTATCTCACTAGCTAATAAATGTTGGGATACGTTCAATCGCCTATTATCTGGCCGGGCCACATTGTATCCCACATTGTTGACCCCGACGTTTCTCTAGCCTACAAAAACGACTCCGACGTTCACTTTACCCCACACATCCTTCATGTATGACAGCACGTACCATATCATAGGGATTGGTTCTGGTTGGGTCCTCGGAGGGCTGGCACCTCGGCATCGGCTTATGAAGTCCTTCGGATTCCGCGGAGATATCAGGCCTCTCGTGCTTCTTCTTCTTCTGGGCTACTGCAGTGGGTCTGTATTCTTTTGAACAGCGTTCTCACACAACTTCGTATATGAGCCACCGCATGGCTGCTGTGAAATATGAGAAGCTGTGTAGTGTTCGTCGCCTTCCTGTGAACTGTTGTTTCTATTTCACATTTGAAAGTTCGCATGACGAGTAAATCGAGGATGTGTGGCTGCTGATCCATCTTTTCTTCACTCGGGAATTTTATGTCTGAGAAGCTCAAAGTACGAAAATAATATAAATTCTGCAACCTGTTCCTTTTCACGATAACAAAGGTGTCGTCAATATAACGACACCAACTGCTCAGGGGCTGTTGGGTGAAGAGTATTTTTTTCAGTTCTTGTATGACCGATTCTGCTACTACACCAGAGATTTGGGAGCCCGTCGGAGATCCTTTGATTTTTTCTAGGTTGCTCCTGCAAAGGTGAACTATGTCTCTTTACAAAAGTTGAACGGCCTCATGGTGTATTAAATTTTACGTGAACTGTGGGTTTCTTTGTACACCTCGTCGAGTTTTCTGCGCAAAACGCCTCGTGCCAAACCCAGCGTGAATAATTATGTCAGGTCAGAGGAAACCATCCTTTCGTCCGATTACACCCTTCGACCGTGGGGGTCTGCCAGGAATTCGGAAGATGAATGGACTGAGTCAGCAGAGTTATGCTAGAGTATTTTTGGTTTTGAGTACATCCAGTTATCCAAATTATAGATAGGACTGTCTTTTAGGGCAATGACTGGCAGCGATGGAAGGCTGGTTTATGGGCATTAGGCAGACCATAGAAGCGAGCCAGAACAGTATATGTTGGTATCATTAGGCGCTATTTGTTCCGGCGTTTGAATTCTTCAAGTAATTTATACAACTGATTTGCTACGGCTTTTGCTTCTGAGTTTTTTGCTGGTCTAAATAATTCTCTATCATTAGGTAGAGTTTTGGCTTTCGCAGTGTAGTCTCCTCGATTCTTGACCGTCCCTTTTCCGCGGACACAATGATAATATGGTCGTCCGTTCTTCGTTCTTTAATAGCTTTCGACTCATTCATCGGCACACATTGGGCTGGTCGGTGTGTCATAAGTCAGGAGGTGACCTGTTTTCAAACGGAGAGCTGCTCGTCGTCTGTTGTTGCAGTTCTCACAAGCCTGGCTTCCAGGGCTGCAATTAAATCGGCAGGGTTGGCATCGGCGGTGTTAAAACAAGCTGGAATACTCTTCGTTTCTGTTTCGTTGATTGCTTAGAGGAGGGATTATGTACCGAGCTGGGGCTTCCCGTGTCGGGTTTTTGTAGCTCATTCAGTTTTTGATCCAAGATTACTCGCTTCTTGGCTTGTCTGAGACGCGCCAGCGCAGCAATAAAAATATCCGAGTTATCTAGCGAACAAAGTGGTTTGCTGTTTTGAGGCATTTCTAAATATGATCTACATGACCATCTTCATAAGAACTAATATCCAAAACTCATTTTTGCGGTAAATGCTCTTTGTATATATCTTATTTTAAAGGTTTTCATGCAAACGTCAAGCAGAAGGTCAGTTTACGCATTAACAAATTAAGACACTGAAAATGGATGAAATGACTCCACAATTTCAATTACGATATTATATTAATAGTTATCCATTAATTTCAATCTGTACAAAACATTTTGACTAAAGAAAAGTTGTTTCTTTATAAAAAAAGTGGTAACGTAAACATTTCATATTAACAAAATATGTCAATGTATTCTTCTAAATTATAGCTATTTTTACGTTTCCGGAACTTGGGTATTATCGGGAAAATTTGAGGTTTCTTAACAAACACTTATTACTTCTTATACTTCTTTTTAATTTCAAAAATGCTTACGCTGTTCGCTACTATTTCCAAGTTTTCGTTAATGCGTTTACACCGATATGCGAGCAATGATCAAACTTTTACAAAGTAATGAAATTTGCACGGTCTTTAGCGCCTACTTTATGTATGTAGACTTTGGTGGCAGTCATTGGTCAAGGGAACTCGTAAACTGTCAGCCGGAATTGTGAAATGTTCTTTTCATTCGAACATAGTAATTAAGTATGCTTTTAATGGTGATTAGAATGCGACTTAATCTCCACACATTTCAATCAACACAGGATGCCGTATTTTGAACCAACATTATTTTGGCCACCAGCAAGACGTATACTCTATAAAAAATGGCTACTTAAGTATTATGCCTTTTTCCTATTTATTTTTACTGCTCTTATTAATTCAAATATATGATATAGGGAAAATATACAAAAATATTCCTTCTTGTACTCGTAGAGTTGAAAATTGTAATGTAAGGAAGAAGTCACATAATGCTCATTAAATTTGCAAATAATTTGATTAGTTTGTTTAATTTATGAGCGGGTTTAGTAAATGCACATTTCATGTTCGTAACAAGTCTCATAATAAGAAACGTTTTTTCTAAAACCGAATGATACCCTTTCTTGCAATAAAAAATTTGAAAACGGCGCAATTTGCTTATCAAACGAGTACAAGAAGGAATATTTTTGATCTCTTAACATTTCCCCCCCCGCCTCGCCCCCTTAATTATCACTGATTGGTTGCTCAAGCTTTTGCTAACTCTGCCCTCCCTTGTATTTGCCTGATGATGAATCAATCGAAAACGTTTTTCAAATAGACTGGGACCCAATATTCCGTTGCAACGCGTACGTCCATTCTAAATTATAACAACAATTGGTACAGTTCGCGCTACAACGGGATACTTTGTCAAAAGAGTACTCAACAGGGGATGCAGGTAGTCATCGCCAAAAGAGTCGGCCAAATGTAACGCGTGACTCTAAGCAAAGAAACTGTTGGGACGGCCCGGACGCCAGTTATAACTCAGGCAATCCTGAGTGTACCAGAACAAAGGAACCCTAATGACCACTGGTTCATGCAGTTACAAGCAACCTGCAAAGGGCGGAAATTAGGCCAGGACAAA